CGCCCGCCCCTTGAGATCAGCGGGAGAGGCCTTCCCTGGGAACCCTCCGTGAAGGACATTAGGAGGGTAAGTACTCGGAGGAGGGCTTTCTCTGCGGTGGCACCCAACCTATGGAATTCACTCCCCAGATAGGTCCGCCTGGCGCCGTCGTTATTTGTTTTCCAGCACCAGGAGAAAACCTTTTTATTTAAATGTCATTTTAATTGTTAATTTAATTGTTAATATTATTTATTTATTTTATATCCTTGGCCAGGTCGACTCAAATTATATTGTTTTTATATTGTGATTATTTATTTATTGATGTGAGCCGCCCCGAGGCTTCGGCGAATGGGGCGGCATAGAAGCTTCCTAAATAAATAAATAAATAAATAAATAAAATCCCAGTCTGACTTGGTGTAAAACCTCTATCTGCACCACTCTTCCCATTCAAAATACAGGTAGCTTATGATTAACAGTGTATGCCAAAAAGATTCCATAATGCTTCACAATTCAAACTCTCAATGTGATTTTCTTCACCCTTTCAAAATCTTTCTCAATGTAGGCATAAATATACTGGGTAAGATCCAAGTGTGTCCCAGTGCTAGCGCTAATAACATTGGGCTAGTGTAAACCAAGCCTTGTGTAAACTAGCATTTGCTAGGGCAATGAGAGAAAGCAGTTATTTGTTGCTGAATTCAGGAAGAACTTGTTTTCTTTCCCCATTGCACTAGTAAGCCATGGTTACATTGAGGAAGTTTTGTTTTATGCTAGCACAAAGTGAGTCCTACCCACTCAATCTAATCTCTCTTTTCTAAATCCTTCTAAAATAATGTATCTGAGTGATTATAGATTAATACAGGGTACACTCTAAATCTTTCTCTTAAGAGAGTGGCTTTCTATTAGCAGGATTTCACAGGAGCTTTTCAGCCACAACAATAATACTATCTGTAATAGCAAAGAGAGCATTTGTCTGTGCACTGAGTGACAGCTTAGACACAACAGACTTCACTAGTCTGACATACACTGTGAGCATGCCTAGAAATACCCCCTAGGATACTCCACAATGTGCACATGTTCCTTGACTACAGGAAATTTGAACCACATTGCCTTAAGGAGATGCCAGAGGTGACCACAATGCCGTTCTTGTTTAACTTATACTGTGGATTCAAAACCAACAGGTGAGCTCAGATGCAATGCCAAACAATGACAAAAGAACAAGCCTTAGGCTCATGCATTCCTGCTCTTCCTCTCTTCATGGTATGCACAGACCCAGTTTGCCTGGTTCAGACAAAATGGGAAACTATGGTGTACCAAGAAGCAGGAAGTACGAAGGGAACTGCAGCATGCAAGTCTGAAGTCTGTTCATTTGGTGTCGCATCTGAACAAAGCCTTATTCTACCACAACCTGGTCCAATTCCTAACTGTAAACAAAAGAAATACATAAACAGTCTCCAGACAGATTAAGGTCAAGCTTTAGTCCAACCGTTTTCAATCTACTTCTTACAATTAGGTTCTAATCTTCAGTATTAGTGCATTGTGATTAAAGCTTCAATGAGTCTCATGCAAAGACAATATTAGCTTTCCTCGGGATTCAGCTGGTGGGATCATGTATGAACACTATTTGAGCTCTTTCAGCTTTGAAGAAATGCCTAAGTTCTATTATGGGTAAGAGGACTCCTCATCTTTAACATAAATCTCTGTTCAAATTACTAACTAGATGGCTATTCTGAGGCTGCATAATTCAGCATGAACTCAAAAGCAAGCATAATTAGGCTGGCCGGCTTTTTTCTTCCCAGAAAGATCACGGCAGCCTAAGATATTTCAATGCCTGCAGCAAAACAGTAAATAGTGTTCTTCAGTAAAGATGTTTGGCTCCCAAGACCAGTCCAGTATTTTGGCACCCAAGGCAGAGGATCCTACAGGCACCTCTTCCCATTCCTGGCTGTAAAGAATATAACAACAATAAGCTAAATTACTAAGAATTCGCTGCCCTTTAATCACACTCAAAACTTGATGCCTAGGACAGGCACTGCACTCTGCCCAATGACAAGGCCATCCATGGTAAGGATTTAGGGCTTTTCTAGGGTTTTTCTAACTTGGTGCACTCATGCAATAGAAAAGGTTGAGGGAGCTATGCTAATAGGTAGCCCTGTATGTCATCTCAGAGATGTAGTCTCCAACTTTGGCAAGGACAAACATAAAAATTCAGAAAAGTTTAGCTTCATAAAAGTTTAAAGAGAAAAAGCAACATTTTATGAAACTGTGGAACACTCCTGCAGATGGATCTGGTGCTATACAAATGAGCTTCTTGCTCACACATTCCTTCCTTGTCCTCTCCTTTTGCCAGTATGTGCTGCTTGCTTCATTATGGTTAAAAAGATGAGTAGGTGTCCTTCAGCACAATTGTATAATACAGTTTTCAAATAAAGTTGTGGCATGATGGTAGAGAGCAGCTTACACCATTTGTCACCAGTAGATGTCATGAGCATTATTTTACTATGTTCCCACAGCACTCATGCAACTATATTCCACACAGCCCTAACAATGTCAGGGAATAGAATTGTTGGCATCCCTAGCAGCTAAGTGTACTTATTACATGGCTGCATGTAATAGCAGCAAATCATGTGTTAATTAACACAAATTTGTGGGGACATGCAGCATGTGCAAGCTACTTCCAGTGTACAGGAACAACCTACAAATGCCCCATTCTGGTTTGCCAGCATTATGTCCCAACATTTGGGGTAATTCATGGGTTAAAAAACCCAGAGTTAACCTGAAAACAAATCATGGGTTAACTTTAGCTTGTTTATCCTACAAACCATGCAAAATGTTCACGTTCAGACATTGTGTAGATATGAATGGAGCATTTGAACATTATTGCTGCAAACCAAAAACAGCACACAGGCAGTATGGATATCTGTATCTTGGCTTAATTAGCCCAAGATTTGCTACTATATGACTGTTATATGTACAGTAGGATAATGACAACCTTCAAGGGACCTTGAAAGCAATAGTGCAAACTTTAAATCAGAAATACAAAGAGTTACTTATTTATTCATTATTACATCTTTCCAGCAAGTGTGGATTCTGAGATCTTTCCCAGTTGCAAATAAACTTACACTTCAAGCTTGGAAGGAAAAAATCCACCACATAGCATGCAATGAACTGAAGATCTTAACTGCTGTTGCCTTTTTTGAACTTAGCTCTTACAACCATGAAACTCATATAGATGCTTAACTATACAGACTGCTTATATTAATGTATATATTTGAAATGGAAATGCCAGTCCTTTCCCCGCCCCACATCCTTGTGTTTTTCCCTTTCTTTCTTTTTCTTTTTTTTCCTTTATCAAAGAGATGTTAGTAATTACTGTATATGACCAATCTTCAGTGATCAGCAGGCACAGATTTTCCTGCTCTGCGGCTGCCAGGTCTTGTTTCCCTACCCCTATTGCCTTCCACCCTCCACTTCCAATTTCCCCTATCTATCCTTTCAAATATTATACTTATAGAAACACACATTTGTACTGTTGTGTTCACATCTTTCTCAATGCATCATTGCCCTCTCTAAGCCAGGTGGGCAACTCATGGTCCTCCAGATGCTTTGGCTTACAACTTCCATCCATCAGTCCAAGTCAGCAAGGCCAATGGTGAAGGCTGACAAAAATTTTGGCATTTCAGATTCTTCGGCCTATGAGTTGCCGACCCCAGATCAAAGAGTGCTGTTTTCAGCTTGGCAAGAATATTCTGGACAGCACATCTCACAATATGAACTCTGAACTTCAGGCCTTGGCTGCAGCACCAATCTGAACAGTTTGGTCAAGAGAACAGGGCTCAACGTGGCTTGCAAGGTAATTTTTTTGCTCCCCAGCCAGCCTCAGGCCTGTAAACTTATTTTCTTCTCTGGTGCAACTACGACAAGGACAAGCTTTCATGACCATTTTTGATTAAGCACAACTTGTATCATCTGAATCCAACGAACTGTGGTTAATCTTAACTGTGGTCTGTTTGGAAGAAGGCATCTTCAAACCTTGGCTAATGCAGCTAACATGTTTGAACAAAGCATAGATAAAATTAGGCTTCAGACATAACACTACACTACAGGTAATTAAAAAAAGTAAAAAACTTCCAATTTCATTCTCACAACTGCAGAGTGCTGGAAGGATGCTGAAGGCTTGATGCAACTTGTTCCTATGGTCTATCATCATTTTCAAATGCACCACCATCTCCTAAATGAAAAGCTGTGGCAGACTGCCTTACAATAGAAACCTCTTCTGCAGTTCTGAGCAATAAGCAAAATTCAAAGAGGCTATTTGCATGAGGCTATTTGCCCAGAGGTCTCTACCAAACTACCAGTCGCAATCACTCACTCTAGCTGCTAAAAAGGCACAGATGTGGCTTACAAGCAAGCAAACTCTATGTATGACTTAGTTCCTAGGAAGACAAAGGAATGTGGGGACCAAAGTTTCCAAATTTAGATATTACATTCTGACACAAGCTCATGCACCAGGAGAGACAGTGTGCAATTGTGTGGAACTACACCTTGGAGAATGATGACAGCTCCGTCCTAGAATATATACTTTGTGTGCAAAAGGTCCCAGATTCAATTCCTGGTATCGCCAATGAAAATAAAGTGAGTCGCAGGTAATGGGGAATACTTCTGCAGTCTCCTATGTTCTGAAATCTGAAGGGGAAGGCCAATTCTAGAACTGATTGCCAAAACCCACAATCGCTCTCTTTGTCTCTCCCTGAAGGAAAGCCTATTCCTACCTCCATACAGCTTTTAACTGCCCCCAGAATCCATCTGCCTCAGAAGCCAAAAGAGAAGTTCAGCAAATTTCCTGCAGCCTTTCAGATTTGTATTCCACAAGGGTTTTCCTGACCTTCAACAAACTGCACAGAAACTCACAGGGATGGTGCAAGGATAAGACAGAGAGGAAGAGGAAGATTATGTGAACACCTTGGATTTCCTTGCAGGAAAACAGTGGGATATAAATATAATAAGAAATAATATCAACTCACCCAGCTCATCCCAGAGCTGTCGGCATTTGTCTGTCATGCCTGTTCCCTGCTGTCTCCAAAGAGCAAGACGTGGGTCTGCCATAAACTGCTCTGTTATTAGTGTCAACATCCTGGCCCCATTGGAATCTCTCATGCGCAGCATTTCACGGACCTGGTGCAGAGGAGGAGTGGCAGTGCACTTTTTGTTACATATAGAATATATTTAGTGGAGACCAGAACAATTTTTTGTATCGTATACGTAATCAAAAGCTGGCTCAGTAGCATTCTGCACTTCTATGGAGTGGCTGCCTATATTTGCCTATATAGTGCCTATAAAAAGTGACACTAAAAATCATGCATGGGGAACCTTTTTTAGACCAAGAGTTGAATTGGCTCTGGGCAAACATGTCAGGGGCTGAATCCTAAAGTCACTGGGACTACCCCAAGTTAGTGATGCCACCACCCCCCGCCCCGCTGCCATGTGGCCCCCATGTGTTGGTCAGGACCCCCGTCACATTCTTGCACTGCAATTCTCCCTCCCCACATACAAAACACACATTCCAACCTCCTGATACTAATATCAGATTTTAAAAAGCCAACCTCCAGGGGGAGATGGTGACTTATGAGGAGATTTTCAAGGCCGAGTCCAAGTGCTACATGGGTTACTGAGTCTTCAAACTCCTCTCACCCAAAGTACCTGGCAGCCACTTGATCTAGACCCTGACAGTGACATGAATCTCCCTTTCTCTGAACTGGGAAATAAAATCCCTGATGGCCGAGGGAACAGACATCTCATTTCAGACTTTTCTCCTCTTCCTGAAGGGGAAAATGTTATCTTGGTATGGCATGCCCTTGAAAACAAGCACAAATCTGACTGGCATTGTTGATCCAGCGGCCAGCTGCAAGAAAGGAAAGGGAATGGGCTCTAAGGAGGGAAATTTTAATTAAACACTATCTATGCTATGGAACAGCTTATCAAGGCAAAGTACAGAATCACCATCTCTGGAAGTTTTAAAACATATGTTGTTTCAGAAAGAAAAGTAATGAGGTCTGAAAATGTGGACAGCAGCATGAATATCTGTGCAATAGTATGTATTTTGTTTGAGTAAGGGAAAAAGTTATGAAAAGGACATAATTTAAGGGACCATAGCTTATAATCTTCAGAAATTCTCATTGCTAGAAAAAGGACATTTTAAACAGAGGCTTAAAAATTTTATTATACAGATTGCAAAGTCAAACACCTGATAATTATGAAAAACCACCTTTTTGTAGCGCAAGTACATTAAGACTCTTTGTACCTAAGAAAAAATATTTTTAAAAATTAAAATACATTTGACAATTTAAGCAGGTCATCTTTATTTATAGTATTAGGCTGCAGCATTCAAATCTAAGGATAAACTATAGCTTATTTTTATCTGAATGAGGCTCAGGCTCATCAGCTTCCCAACTCCCTCACCTCTTCTGACACTTTCACAATGAGAAAACTTTCACTTCCATTTTTTCACTTTCATTTCTAACTACCTGCAGTTTAGCATTGTGTCCAAACCCAGACAAACTTTAGTCTTAACTAAGGTTTACTACAAGATACCAACTTCAAACTGGTTTACAAAACTGACTTAGAAACACAGACACAGAGTGAGTCAGAACGGGTCTCCCGGGTCATCTACTCTGACCCCTGGCTCCAGGAGGCTCCACTCATGACTTGCCTACCAGGCGCATGTCCATGTGACTTGTTTGCAATAAACCATGCTTTGGAATCAACTATGGTTAAAATTAACTACAGCACAGATTTCATATATATAATATGAATTGCTGTTAGAAGTGAATGCTTCCAATCTCTTCCTTATGCCAGAGGAAAAAAGAGGAGGGGTACTATATTAGCTTATGCTTATTCACATAAAATAGGTTATTGTTATATCTGACTGCAATTTTAGTGCATTAAATACTTTTATGCCCATCATTTTGAACTACTGGAACTTATATTCCCATCATAAATTACCCCCCATCAACAAACACATAGTATACAATCATGCACTCAAAATTACCATAACGTCTAGCAAAATAAAATACACTAGATATATCTGTATTGGGGATTTGAAGAATGTCCCATTCATTTACATTCTTCTGGGAGGATATATCTACTGACAAACCAATGGGGAACAAACAAGAAGATACGTACATCCTGTAGCATCCTCTCTGGTCAATGGTGATCAATGACTATGATCTAAACTGTGCAAGTGCTAGCTCAGTCTCTGGAAATGTAATTTTACAGTACCAGAAGCTGCTTTCTAGTGCTTGCTGGCAAGAGAGTCACAAGGTGCAGGAATACTATAAAGAAGTTAGGTGAGTTCTGAGTTTTTGGCGAAGAGGAGGGGAAGGGAAAAGAAACCAATCCTCACCTTAGCAAACATGGAATTGAGTTGCTTCCCAGAGCCATAGTACCCTCCTTGGGAGAGGAACAGCTTCACTTGCTCCCGCACCTGTTCCTCATCCAAATGCCAGCAATTCTCATCATCAATGCTGGCCCCTGCAGTGGGGTCTGGTGCACCTGTGACAAGAAAAGCCCAGCCATTAAAAGAAACCATACCTGAAGGCATCACAGTGGCAGAATCACATATGGTACCCATTCAGTCTGCCCAGTCACTTTCATCTATTAAGAGAATACTTTCTTATTTCATTCAGGTATTTTTGGAATGAGGAACAAAAAATGAAAAACACCTTTTTATACAAACCAACATTGTGGTATTTTCACAACATTTTAGAAATTTTCACTGCAAAACAAACATTTTTTTGACTGAGAGATAGCAAGTTGATGCCCCAGCCTAGAATGAAGAACTGCCCCAGCCTACCCAAAATGAAGAAAAGGCAAGACCAAACAGCAGAAGAGAACATCTCAATTCCAGACTGCCATAAAAGGTATAACATTCCTAGCACTGTCAACCAGTCATTCCTGGCACAGCAGCTCTTGAAACGAGCTAGGAAAGTGTAAGGCACTTCTCGGATCATCACGGCTGTTATAAACACCCACCGAGCCCTGGGATAGCCTGAATGGCTCCCTCCATGTTTACAGTCATTCCTCCTGTGCTGATTCTGCTCTACTTATGTGATAGCCTTGAGGTACATCTCAGCACAGAGAACCCATTAAAACAATGCAGTTCTCCAACCCAGCTAGTAAGAAAACTCTTGCAAGCAACTTTCCATTGTGAGAGCTACAGAGGCCAGTGAGCTTCATAAAATGTTAGGAAACATTCAAGCAGAAAACATGCAGTACATCTCATGCAATTTAATCTTAGTTAAGGGACTGTGGATCTGCTCCTTCAAGGAGGACTCAACAAGGATGGCAACCTAAAACAAGAATCAGCATAAGGCTGGTGATGGCAGGGTCACAGGAAACATGATCTTCAACTACTTTTGGATTAACTTTCTCCCGGAAGGAACAAAATGACTATCAATACTGTGACATGGCTGTAGTTGAACAGGTATCACCAGGATAGCTAGTAATTTACCACATGGCTTTCTGGACCAATAACCACACTGGCTAGTGTGTGCAAACCCAAAATGATGGAAGTGAAAATAAAAATGACATTAAGTAGCTCGGTAGGACCTTGTACTACCACCACAGGCAACAGGAAAGTGAAGCGGAAGCATAAAAAGCACTGGCAAGAAAACCAGTAATCATTTGGAAAAAATGTAATTCAGTGTTTTTTATCTTCTTGTCACAGAACTGGTGCTAGGTAACATACAGTTTCCTGATCACCTACAGCAAGTCCATGCATGGCTCAGCCTTCTGCTGTTTGATGGGAAATTCTATTCCTCCCTTCATCCAGCGCCAGGAGAGAACAGAAGGAAAAAGCAGAGTAAAAAAACCTGGTAAGCCAGGCACAGCCTGTTACTTTTGGAAGACTGGAGGTTCTGTGCATGCATGTAATCTCTCTCTCTCATTCTCTCTCTCTCTCTCTCTGTGTGTGTGTACATACACATGCGCCTGCATGTGCACACGCACACACAGGGCTCAAGCACACACGTCTGCCTACCTTGGAGTATATTGAGGGAGGAATCACTGAGATTAGGGTTAATCTTAATGGGTCACTGGTTCCCAATGGCTCAGAAGGATCATCTTGCTTTAGCTACTGTTTAAATTGTCTCGCATCTCTTTGGATAAATACAGCTCTGAAGATTGCTAAACTTTATTTCTGTAGTAATTCTTCAGTGCAATGCCAGTCACTCCAGCAGTAGGACCCAGACTCTTAAAAGTTCAGCCAAAGTGTTTTATTACAAAAGAATAATCATGTGCCAAAGAATAGGCTTTTTTTCTTTTTCTTAAAGCCTCACATCTTCCCCTTTTTTTTCTCAAAACACTTCTGATTAGTTTTTCCACATTCAGGACACATTCTTCTTATGTTCCAGGCTCATATTCAGCAATGTTGCAAGGTATGCAACTGGTCTGGAAGAACTGCTGGTCACCTAGTTGATGTGCCTTACACAATGAGCTGTTTCCTTGTAGAAGATCCTAATACCAATGTCTGAATGATAAATCTTGTAGAATCAAAAGGAATGAAACTCAAAAAAGGATACAGAGTTGATGGGCTTTTCTTCCTTCCCCTTTTGAAGCCACCAGAAAGAATTGCAGCTTGCACTGGGAGAGGACAAAGCAATATTTATGAAGCTCTTCAGTTGTACAGCACTTCTGTGATATTAGAAAGCATTGAGCATTGTCATGTTGCAGTTGATTGCACAAGCCAGTTTAAAAAAAAAAGAAGACGATTCCATTTTCAAACCTTTGAAACGCTTCAAAAGCAGCTTTGTAAGAACTGGAACAATGCTGCTACTTTGAAGAAATTATCAGCATCTCTGCATCTGGATGTCTGACATTAGATAACCATGACGACAATGACTATGACGACAATGACAAGTTTCGTACAGTAGGTTGGCTCTGGGCACAGAAATTCCTGGGTGAAAAATCGCGACAGTGAAAAATCATGGTGCCTGGAGCATGCTTGGTTGACCTTTCACCCTCTTGCCTCATGCTGATTACTACACTCCACTGAGTAAAGGGGTCATCGCTGGAAGAGCAAGTCACAGGCAGAAGAAGGAAAGCAATGACTATGGCACATGCTGCTCATCAGTAAAATCCCATCTCTATTTCTGCTTAATAAATTCTGCCCCGATTGTCCAGTGTGGCTGGGAAACCAAGCAATGCCTGTAGGAGTTCAACTCTAACTCTCCATCTTACCTCTTCATAGAGTCAGTGGCAGTTAGCACACTCAAACCCCAGGGACAGGACTATATTGTTCATGAATCATACTGTAATCCACCCATCAAAAGGAAGCCAGCTGCTTCACAGGAATTATGAAGGCAGGGTGACATGGCAAAGCAGTTTTTCCACCTACAGGCACCTGCTTTTATCTGACAGGGTACACCATATTAGCCTTTAAAAACAACTGGCACAAGAGATTTGCCAAACCCCAGAGCATGGTTTTTCTTCTAAAAGAGAAAAATACCAATATAGTATTATAGTTTTATCACACCTTTCAAAATGGCAGATGGCTTTTAGATACGCAGAAAGGCCTTTACTGGAGCTCATATTAAAGAATTGTTCTGAGCCACTTTAGGCTGAGTGTTACACTGTTACTACCCAGCAGCAAATGGGAAAACATTCTGACATTCTGCTCCATTATCCAAATCTTTCCTCACCTGTAGGAACTGTGACCCCATTACCTGGTTTGCAAATGTTTGGGGAACCCACCTTTCCTAACAACATCACTGAGAAGTACAAGAGGTCTTGCTATATTAAGGATGTATTGAACCATAAATGATTAAGTTAAATAAGACAGTAAACAAGAAAGCAGTGATCCAACATTAATTTGTTGTTTCTTGTGCTTGTTTCTATAAGCCCATGTTATAAAATAAACAAAACCCAAAATAAACTCTTGGGTGTTACCTATAGCTTTGTTTTTATTTCCAGTTTTGTATTTTGAGCTTAGCATTAATTAAACTCCAAAGATTTTCGCAATTATGAAGGGACAAATCTAATTACTCATCAGTAATCAGCAATTTTGCTTTTATATTAGATATTCAAGGTCTGTCTCACACACACAACAGAGATGATGGTGATAACATAGTACAAACTGCAGTGGAAAAATTAATACACATTTCAGAGTAAACATTTATGACATGTTCAGATATGAATAAAATGTACTGTCAATCTTTTTCCTAACATTAACCTGTACTGAGGCCAACCAATGGCAAATGGTAACCCAAGTAAGACAAATCAGTAGTTCTCTCATCTTAGCACCAAGCTGATTGCAGACTGAATAAAGAAGAGAGCTGGAGATGGTTTAAACAATCATCAAACATTAAGACGGCTTTATCACTGTTGCTCTCAAAACCTGGTCTGAAATCAGCTCTGCAGACAGTCTCCATGGGGCTGTTTACACACTAAATTTTTCTGAGATAACAACCCCTGAAAAGTTTCAGCCTCACTCTTTCTTACAGAACCCTCCAAGCAAGCCTCCCTTGGAAGTGGCAGTTTGAGGCAGGCCCCAGATCTTGATTGTAGTGTCCAGGTAGATTGTTTTTGGGGGAGGCATTCTATTAAGTATTGTGGTCCCAAGCCATGTAGGGCTTTATAGTTTGGAAGCAGCACGCTGAATTGAGCTCAGATGCATACAGGCAGCCAATGCAAGTGGGCAGGAACTGGTGCTTTCTGTCCGAACCTTCTGGCCTCAGTTATTAGTCTGTCTGCTGCAATTTGCATAAGCTGCATCTTCTGAATAGTCTTCAAGGGCCCCACATAGAGTTTCTTTCTTTCTTTCTTTCTTTCTTTCTTTCTTTCTTTCTTTCTTTCTTTCTTATCTATCTATCTATCTATCTATCTATCTATCTATCTATCTATCTCGCCCTTTACCATGTCTCAGGATGGCAATACCATAGGTAAACAGGATACAGAATCACACATAAAATTGGACTGATGATGGCAATTGGGGCAGTCCTATGGCAGTCAGTAAGTCCATAAATTCCTAAGCGATTCCAGGCAGGGCACTTTTGGCATAGAGGTTAATGTATACCAAGACCAACAGTCTGGGGACCTCAACAATGCAACCAAAACAGTCGCTTTTGGCTCAGGCAGGGAGATGGTTGGGTGACAGAAACAGCAGAATCTTGTACCATTGTCCCAGCGCAAGATGCAAACATTCCAGAATAGTAGACAAATGGGCAGGGAGCCTAGAGAGAGAAATATGTTCCCTTCAGACTACAGGAAACCCCCTTCCCTGGCCTTGTAATTCTTTCATATACCCTGTTGTTGTACCAAGTACCCTGGATGGCACAGTTGGAAGAAGCTAACTTCCCTGTTTGCTCACCCAGCTCTTGGTTGTACATGCCAGATTGGCCACCTCATCCACTATTAAATCATGCATACAGGAAGTCTTATTGTAGACAGATCTGGCAATCAAAAGCAGCCTCTGGAGACTTAAAGGCAGACTGACAGGGCAGCAACCAAACCTGTGGCTGCAAAAAGGGCCAGGGCACAGCACAGCCATTAACTGCCAGGGCTGTGCTCCCCTTGTCTGGCTAACCCTCCCCACAATGCCATATCTATAATAATAATAATAATAATAATAATAATACCTTCTTCTACTTGTCACAACACTAATTGACCCCAAGTTGGTCCCATACCCTCCACTATGCATACATGCAGAAGGCCTGTGAAGGAGAAACAAGGCCCCTCTCTTCAAGACTCTAAAGGCAGGCAGGCAGGCAGGCAGGCAGGCAGGATTAGCTGCGATATTAGAGGGGGTTCCTTGTCCCTGCATCCTCCAAAAGCAGCACCCCCAAAAGTGGTGTCTTCCCTTTCAGGGATGTCACTACCCCACTTTAGCCAGAAGATAAAGCCCCCTGAGTATCCACCCAGGTGGTCGTAGGACCCCAGGTAGTGGGCAGGTAGGACTTGGGAGTTTCCATTTTTTTAGGGTTCTGCAGCTTCTGGAACCTCTTTCAGGCAAAGTTCCAATCCAGCCAGTAATGGTGTCAAGCAAGTGAGAAGGCTAACAGCCAGGTTAGGGGTCTGATAGGATGGTAGAAGAGGATGAACAAGGTGGAAAAAATGCCAGCAAGATACTGAATCCAGCATTCACATCTTTCCCTGAGAGAGACCTGGTCCATACGTTTGCTTGGGAGACAGATGTATATCTCAAAGTTCTCTCAGCCATGTCTGAAAGATGGAGAAATCTATTGATTTAGGATTTGTTTCTTCCTAATCAATGCCAAAGAATGAAGGTTCTTTAATTCTATCACAGAAAGCATGGCATGTGTATTATCATTGAGGCTCAAGGGTACATGTCTTGCATTTGGCAGCTAGAAAGCAAAATGTGTTTCAGAGATGCTGTGAATCTGAGCTGTTTTGTCATCTCAAGACAATTAACTAGCATCTAAATGAAGGGTTTTTTTTAAGAATCACTCCTCGTTTTAAAATATCTACAGACAGAAATAACAGTGCTCACTGGTCTTTGTCTTTGTAATCTTAGAAACATAGAAACAGAGTGAGCAGAAGTGGCCTTCCGGGCCACCTAGTCCGACCCCCAGCTCCAGCCAGCTACAGTCATGGCATGCCTACATGAGATGTCTCCTCCTCCTTGAATATCACAGTCAACAAGCTTGCAAGTATGCTCTGCTAGCACCATGGCAGCTGACAAATTCCTATGCAGGAATTATGAACTTATAAACTTCAGGGGCTATAGAATACTCATATAACTACCCACATATTTGAAACATAGAGTCTCTGTTCAGCTCATTAGAATGTGCTGTAAAGATGGAACCAACCTGAACCAACCTTCTCTAACCTGATGCCCCCCAGATATATTGGACTCCAACATTCCTTAGTCTGGCGGTCACAGGGACTGAGAAGCCCATTCTGAAGAGTTTTCTACTACTGACTCTGAGATGGCCACTCTGAAGCCAGGGTGGGCAGCTCCTTGAAATACATTCCCTTACTCGCCTGAGCTGATGGGGCACATCTGCCAGCACCTTCATTGGCAATCCCCAATCATTTCTTGGGGGGCAAGAGGGTCACGATATTAGATGGATCAGGATTGACAGCTTTAATGCAAACCGCAAACAGGTTTGTGTGGTCTTGGAAGAAACTGGCATTGAATGGGAAGGGGCTGATAACATCCATACCCCCTGCTATGGTATTTCCCAAATGTGTGCATTGCCACTGGAATAATGGCTGGGCACAATAGGAACTGGAGTCCAACACATCTGGAGGGCACCAGTTGGTGAATGGGTCTCATTCAGAGGAGAGCTGTGGAAAGAGAAATGTTTGGGAGCAACCAGACTTTCTGTTAAGAGTGGCTATAAGGTTAGGAATGATTTGTGAGGAGATGAATAGGACTGTATTTTTTAAAGCAGAGTTGGGCAAGTTCTGAGGATTTTCTGGGTCACATTTCACCTTCCATGATGTACTAGGACCACCCCCTGTCCATTGCTGAGGCGTCAAAAAAGCAGCAGCTTTTGACGGAAACAAGGCACACATGGAGTGTCCATCTATAGTCACACCATCAAGAATAAAGATTTTTCTTAGACTTCTAGTACCTGCAACCATCATGTCATTCTTCCTGACTCCAGCAGTCTAGCATGGGGGTATGACAATCACAGCAATTTACTATACTCAAATATCTAGGGCCATCATAAGACTGTAGTTTTGAGGGAAAGCACATGCTGTCCATGCCAAAGGTCTTAGGCTTGATCCCTGACATCTCTAGGAACAGCTGGGAAAGGATTCCTGTTGGAAACCCCAGAGCACAGCCAGCGGAGACAATTACAAGGTAGATGGATCAAATACTACACAACAGAGGGCAGCTTCCAATGTTCCCACTGACCTTCATATTACACAACAGTCCACAGTGATTTAATTTATCCCTGAGCACTGTGCTCATTAGTACCATTTTTGCATGCCACCTGCTAGCACCTGGCTTGTCATGTCATGCAACCCCAAGACCACCTTCAATAACCCACGGTTGTGTTTTAGGGTTATTTAAGAGTGGTCTGGTCCCCAAACAACCCAACTCCTGTATTCTCACCACACAGCAAGTCAGGCACCCAGCATAACATGACAGTGACTAACAATATTCTCTCTCTCTCTGTGCGTCTCTCTGTGTGTGCCTCTCTCTGTCTCTCTCCCCCTCCTGTCCCGTTTTACAAGACTTTTCACTTTCAAGGTAACTGATGCACATTAGTTAACTGCCACAACACCATTTCATTATTTCATCATGCAAACAAGATGTAATGATCCACAAAATACAATATTACATGCTGTAAGCCTGCCTTACCCTACCTTGTACCTTCCAGATGCATTTGGACTACAACACCTAGAATTCCAAGTGTATGGCCCTGTTGGATGCGAATTCTGGGAGCTATGGTCGAAATGCCTCTGAAGGCCACCATGTTGGAGAAGGCTGTACTGTAAGCAGTTCAACAGACCAGAGAAGATCTGTGGAATGTGCAAGAGTTTGAGACCTCCAAAGGTTGTGCTCAAAACTGCTGCTTCAGCATAATTCTTAAATATTTTCCACAATATAGCCTTTTCTCTGTGGACTGCAAATCACACAGTCAACTGCCAGTTTGGCTCTAATCACCTGTTCTTGCTTCTTGAAGGAGGTCGGGATTGTTGCCAGCATTTTGCACTGGAACATTAATAAACACAATATTGTAATCCCTGGTGGTTCTTGTATCTACTAAGTAAAAGTTATCCATTGGGCAGGTCACTTGCTGCTTCGAGGATTTATCAGAGGTAGTTTTATTGTTATTTTTACCACAAGGACTTACCATGAACTTGATTGATTTCAGAGTTGGAGGACAAAATTTCATCAGCCAGTTTTTGAGCTGTTGGGAGCACTTCAGTGTGGTGGGCTGTGATCAAATACTGAACAAACTTTTGGAGCTGGTCCCTGTTCATTTGGAAAAGGGTCTCTGAGATAGGAAGACGGAGTTTGACCTGATCAGGTTTTCGTATCCTGTACAGCGAGAGTGCCACAACATGAGCACAGTAAAAAATGTCCTTGTTCCCACAACCACACGTCACGGAAGTTATTTTGCATCGGTCGAAGCTGATGGCCACTTTATAGGTCATTTCTGGCTCTGCTGAAGTAGCAGGCTCTGTAACTGTGCCACTCAGGTGGAATCCTGTGAGAAGGAGAATAAAACAGGGAGAAGGATATTTAGCTTTGCAAGGAAACTTCATCTTAATAGAACACCACTAAGCTCAGGCTTCAATAATGCTTACAAGAATGCACACATTACCCTCCTTGAAACTGTTGAGCACAAAAGACAGGTCATAGCCACTGGCAGCAGTACCCTCTCTCCAAAACCAAAATATATTCAGGGCTCAAGAAAATTATCTACCCAGCATGAAGGCTGCTTCCAGTTGAACAGTCACATTCTGCATTCTTTAGCCAGCTTAGAATGATTCCAAGCTGAATGAACTGTAGTACTCAACGGAATGTAAAATATTCAATTTGCTTTCAAATCAGTTGGACTAGCATAAGACCCACTCCAAAATTGTCTCAGACTTTTCAGCTACTATCAAACCCATGGGCAAATTCATTAAACTTTTGGAGAAAAGAGTGGTTGCTCCCTTTTCAGTCTCATGTCCCTGTAACGTAACTGCATTCCTTCCAGTCCTTTATTGCCAAATAAGCAAGGATTGGCTGCAACTGAGAGATACTTCATCTGATGGCAAAAGGGGTTTAATATCATGCTGCATCTTGGACATTTTCTCTGCCAGAAAATATGGTTTAGTATTTTTGGGAAAGGTAGGCTTTGCAAAAATCAGTCAACTGCCAGATATCCATGCAAAATATAACACACCACCAAATCTGATTTAAAAGGTCATTAATTGCCGTTGAACAACATTGCAACATATCAATTCATATTTCATTGCTTTAAGACACAAGCCTATGCAAGTTTAGCCAGAAAAAGGCCTATAGCATCCAGCATGCCCCACCCAGCAGTCTATACTTTCTTTATAAAATTGCATAAGATTGTGCTCTTAGGGAAAAAGAACAAAAAGTACAATGCCTCACTAACAAAGACAACACAAATCTAGGGAAAATTATATATAAACTTGCTATGGTAAAATAGTCTATATTCATTCCCATGACATATAAATGCTGCAGCTGAGCAGACCCAATCTTAAGACACATCTAGAATGGCTCAGAAACTTAACAGAAAATTATTTTGTGTCAGAAAATGGTACAGTTCAAAGCAAAGAAACAAAAATATTCACCCTTTATTTTGTGATGGTGTAATGGACACAAACTGAGTGAGAAAGAGCACCAATGCATTTTAGCAAATACGAAAGCAAAACCACACTGCATTAAAATATTTATGCAGCCCTTCCCTTCAAGACCTCAATCAATTTAAGTAAAATTGTAGATAATGTCTTCTTTCCTTCATTATTCCAGGTGAAAAACACAATTCTCTGTGTATTTCCATCTAAGAACGTGGACAATGAAGTAAGTGATCTACAATGTAGATCATATCAATTTTCCATAAAGTACACTTCCACACAAAAATGCTTCTTCTCAGATGTTTCCTCCCAGTGATGGCTACTTTCCACACTGCAGCCACAAGAAGGGGAATAAATAAATATTTATGTTATATTTTATGTTATTTCATATATGTAAGCTGTCCTGAGGCTTTCGTGACAGGATGGCATATAAATATTTTAAATAATAAATGGCAGCAGAGAAAGAGTAGCAGGAAAGTTGAGCATACATCTTATCCACCCATGTCAAATTGTGCTTAATTCCCCCCCTGATTTATGAGAAAGCTGCACGATCCACACTGTAACAGATGGGCTTGCAGCCAAGATGTCTACATTAGCCCTTAAGCAAATTGTTCTCAATCTCAGTTATCACATCTGCAATTTAGGAATAATAATTCAATCCTACCATACAGATTTCTATATATTACTGAGGTAACATAAATGCCTATATACTCTTGAGGAAAGTAATATATAAATATTAAAGCCATGTAGAAACTTTAAGATAAAGGAAGCACTGAAACAACTCCAAGGAAATTTAACAACCATCTGTATAAGAAATGCAAGGTTATAACAGCAAACATAAATAGATAAGCCCTGCTCTTACTGTAAGAACAAAAACTGTTGCTTTATTGTAGCAGCTTTGTCCTTTCTTGTCTCCCAGGAATGAAATTAAAAGCTGTTTGTACTGAAAGCCTACAAAACAAGGTGAGAAAAGAACTTTATAAAATCTGTGCCAAAAGGCATTATCTTTTGTTCTTGGCTTGAAGAGAAGAATTAATGAGTCATTCACTCAGGCAATTCTGGAAGCCCATGGAGCATCCCTGACCTACTTAGGGAACAACAACAAATGGCCACAAATAAGGGGACTATAATCTTTTGTTTGCTAGTTTATGTTTTGCATCCGTATTTCACCATTGTATTCATAAACTGTATATCATTTCTTGACAAGTGGTTTTGTTCCATTCTGAGCATGCTTGAATCTGAAGGGAGGTGCCTTGGCTTGACCAGACCCACAGAGATGACTTCCAAACCACCTTGCTTATTCTAGGGTTCTCAAGTGCTTTAGAACATTCCCCCCTCCCCCCCCAATCAGGTTTGGATGACACAGCAACCCACATTTGGCATGGATAATTATGGAAGTGAAGCAGTATGCAATTGGCCCAGGTGGGGAAATAAGGTCCAACTGTGGTTTCTTTTCCTACCCCAACTCTGAAAACCCAGTTTTCAACTGCTATTTTACCAGGACAAAAGTAATAGGAAAAATCTATGCTGTTACTCTCTCCTGGATCTTTACTACAGGAGGCTAGAACTAGAGACCATGATCATGGATACATACAGACCAAAATGGCATTCACCTTTGTACCAGTATTGTATAAGGTACATAGACGCTATCCTGGAGCATTACTCCACAGCACAGATCCACATGCTTAGAGAGACAGCAGTCAAAATAAATGGTGATCCAGAAAAAAGGGGGTACCAACACTTGATCATCATCTTATGCAATCAAGACAGTCCTTGAGAAGAGCTCTTCAACCCACTAGGCTCTCAAAGGAACTAAATGAGATGCTTTCAGTTCTGGTAACTGCAAAGGAATGTTTGTTAATGTGGCATGCAGGTCTTGGCTGTCCTAAAGAAGGAGGGAAAGACTGACAGCCAAGACATTCCAAAGTGGTCAACAGAAAATTCACACAATTCATAGCAGAAAATTCACTAATATTTCAACACACCAGCTTCCAACCAACAAAATGTAAGGAAAATAGTTCCCAAAATGTGTGGATACAGAATAGTCATCATCTAATATTCCAGTTAGTTAAATATGAAAACAGTAAGGTGAAATATCAGATGACTTCCCTAAATTTAAAATATGATTGGAAAAAAAGTTATCTGTGAGTCCAGATTCCCACCGCACAAGTTCAACCACATTGTAATTTTCCTCTCAGATGACTATTGACTATACTGCTAGAAATTTTTTATGATTCCAAATGTTAACTCATACCAGAGGAATCTGAAAGGCTTACAGACAGCAAAAGAGAAAATTTATTTAACTACATTAACTGCATATAGCCCTTGTGTGCTTGCCAAACAGCACAACCATTCTGAGTCAAATTCTACCAGAAGTTTTTAATCAACAGTATCAAAACCATCTTCTTTAAAGTGATGCCAAAACCCACATCAAGATCTGATTAAGTACTAAGAGGGGTTTTCTTTTTCGCTTTAGGAACTAGATTTTTCTAAAGGCCTTCTAAACAAATCATAGACTCCTTAGACTGATCTAAAAACCAGGAATATACCCAAAAAACCACCTCCATTCAAAACCTGTCCAATCAACATATCCATGTTCTTCATTTAATTCATTCTAACCAATATGCATGGTAACTCCCAGTTCTGTACAATTATTCCTTTGCAACAGCAGGAGCAACTTCCTTTCTTTACCCCTACATAATGATACTGCATGCTGAGGGTAAAGACAGCTCAGTATAAAGGACTCCGTAACATTATCATCAACAGCCTCACTCTCCTCTCTTTTCCTCTCTTGATATCCCATTGTATGATTCTTCATGAGCAGATAGGAACAAAGGTATGCATTTTATACAAGAAAATCTTAGCCAAGAGCTCCATTCTTCCTGTGAGGTGTTCATCATACAAATCCTAAAAAAGGTCTGCTGAGCAAAAGCAGCAGACTTGTAGCACATTAAAGACTAGTAGATTTTTTATTGTGGCAAGATCATAGGAAAAATAAGACACAGCTGTGCGCTGCACAGTTTACCTAACTACCCTCACAGCACATCCATTGCTGTGTTGCCCAAATCAAGCAAGGTGCACAGGAGGACGTGGCTTCACCACGACCCCAGAAACCTACAACAAGCCATGCTCTGAAAGCTGCCCCACTGGGCTTGGACAACAGAGCAACCCACACACCATAATTGCGTAGGAATGGCTGCCTTGCACAGTGGCAGGGAAAAGATGCCACTGTGGTTTCTTCTCCTCATGATCATGTAAACCCCACCAATATCTCAGATCAGGTCTAACCCAACATAATCCAACCTTTGATAATTTCTAATTTAGCAATTTCATTCTAGAGTCTCTATTAGAATTTTTGTTAAAGGATAACACTCAAAAAGGCAAAAATTCAAAGGCATTTATATTTTACCTGTTCTTTGAAAAATAATCTTTAGCCACATTACTAGATTTCTTTCCACTCATATTTTAATACTGGCAATTGAACTGAAATCCTTACCACCTATAAAGAAATATTTCATGCAAATGAGCAGCCAGAGTCGTGGAGGCTCTTGTCCCTTAAGGCTATACTGGGTAGCCTACAGACTACATCTGATCAGGGATAGAAACTTACAGACATTTACCAAGTTGACAATACCTCAGTTGATACTATAGTTATCTTGGCCATAGTCACACTGTCTGCTTGTACAAATACAAGGGCTGCAATTTATCAGTTGGTTAATCAACTATAAAACCATATAATTTTTAATTAGCTAAATTGTGCATCAACTATTTTAAATTACTTTGCAATGGCTGTGAACAGAAGTGAAAAAACAAACAAGAAACAATGTTTGGGAAACTTTTCCAAATAAGTCCTCTTACACACATCCCTAAAATTTATGTATTTATTTATTGAAAATTACAAAGCCAGCCAAGGATGGGTCAGGATATCACCTCAATTAATTTCCCAATTCCTATCCAGATTCTGCTGCAAAATTCAATCAGTTCCTCTTTAATTGCCTCCCATTCATCAATACCTGCATATATTACATTCAAAGTAAAATATTGTATGCATTTGTTTGGTTCATAGGTGGATGGGAGAAGGGCTGATTGTTAGAGAATGAAGAAGATGCGGTAGAAGCCAGGGGGCAAGGAAAGAAATCTACTTGCAAAGGGAAAGCAAAGTGTGTAAGCCCACAGCTTATTTCTCATTCTCCAACCAGTATCCAAACCAAGTATAAACCTTGTTCTGTGATCTGTGTCTGCAGGCAAATCAGAAAAATAGACCAGGAACCAACTGAGTAGCTGCTCCATTTTAAACACTGGCTTTTAGGCATATTAAATTACCTTAAAATATCTTGGTCTGGTGTTGATGACAGCTGGAAAACAGTCTAAGGGGAAAGGGACACAACTCACGTCTTGCGCAAGTATCTCTGGAGTCTGCCAAGTTTATCTGATGTTTAGGCTTTAAATCAAGCATTAGTTTAATTTCTAGCTTTCATGACAGCACATATATTTAATATCAACTAGGAAAAAATGTAAAATATTTATCAAATGTTTAGCCAAAGATTAAACACTGCTCTGGAAAAAAGTTCATCAGGATATTTATTTTATCTGAAGTATTTACATGAGTACATGGGATGCTTTTGTTCAACTGGCTGCCTCAGTAGTCATACTTTTGAATAATCACTAGCAAAGCCAATATAGGAATACATGTTTTACGAAAGGTTACTGCCCCAACCATACTTCCCACAAAGAAAACTGGGCTGTCAGGTACTTCAAGCCCCAGAAATGTGAATCTGGTACAGGAAAGAAAAGTTCATTGAAAGTGAAACAATGCAGGTTCATTCAGTAAACACTTACAGATGCAGCTGTCAAAGCAGTAGTAAGAGCTAGTGTGCTGTAACAGATAACACGCTGAACTTTAACCATGGGAACCTGTGTTCAATTCTTCACTCAGTTGTGAAACTTACTGTAAGCTTGAGCCTGTTACTATTGTCTTTTATTTTAGTAATTTTATTTTTAAATACCTTTCTCTTCAGTAAAATCTAGACTGGTTGGCCTAACTTAGCTCAGGGTGTTGTGAGTATAAAAGAGGGAAGCATATATGCCAAAGAAGAATGGAATTAAAATGCCACGATAATACTTTGAGCCTGTTTGTTTCCCAAATATACAACATGGAATGTAGGAAAAGAATGGTCTCCTGGTGAGTGGTGAGTGGTGTGTGAATGTCTGGAAAATGAGCAAGTATCCTGAATTATGGGGCTGAATAATGGAGTATCCTGAATTATGGGGCTTAGAAAATACTACATAATTAGAAATATGTGCATTTGGCCAAATTTGGACACTTTCAAATACGAAATATAAGAGAAGGAAACAATTCAGAATGCCAAACAGTTTTTATCCCAATTGTTCTCATGATTCTTATAACATATGTGCAAATTAAGTTGGCAACAACTTACTTTGAACTTTTGGAAAAAGGTAGAGGGTTCACACCATTGTTCTCATTGCCTTCATTCTGTTTTCTCTCTTTGCCCACCTGCAAAAGCTGTGGCCTTAATTTAGATTTTAAGCACTTCGAGAAAGATACCAGTTTTCTGTTGGTGCTATTCTGTAAGACATTATGTTCACTCATAAATAATATAATTTCTTGGCTTTGGGGAATGAAGTGCTTCTCTTCTATCTCGCTTCCCCAATCTGGTACAAGTTTATTTCCTTGGATGCCTAAAAGCACCTGATATATAAGGTAGTGTTCTAAGATTTGCTAGGCTCTATTCATTTTATCTAAATTTCTGTTTTTATGTTTACAGATGAATATGGATGTCTGCCCTGAGCTGTCAGTAGGAGGCAGGCTGTATCCTAAATCAAGAACTGACATATTCAAATTGTTGAATGATACATCACAATTCATCAGGCAGTGTATTCTAGCACTTTTCACGAAGTCCTTCACCAAAGGTTCCTGAACAAACTTAGCATCATGGTCCTCTCATGGATCAGTAACTGGTTAAAGAACAGAAGCAAACAGTAGCTGTGCATAGGCACACTGCCTCTGATACTGCAGGTAACAAACAACCACCAGGACTAGTAGCCACAGATAGCTTTGCCTTCATAAATTTGTCCCATCCCCTTTAAAGCTATCCAAATTGTGGGGCTGTTTAAGTAGTAGCAGTATAAATTCTAGAAGCAGCAAGCTACATGCTGCTCAGTATTTGTTTCTTTTTGTTACAGAATCTGAATTTTTTTTAAAAAAATATTGCAGAAAGCTGTGCCCCATATATTTTGTTTCTAGCAGGCATTGCTGATACTTTCTAGCATGCTTCCAGCAAGGTGCTGCCGCTCCATAACAAAGAGGCTTTCTGCCTTTCTCTGTCACCCTGAGGTAGCATATCATCTTACTGAGCATGTTCAGCCTCCAGCTCCAAAACACCCACATCTAATCAGACTAACCCAATTTCAACTGTCTGCTGCATAACAGCTTGCTGTCCGATTATAAAGCTGCCTGACACCAAGAAAATGTGGTAGTGATGAATGGCTAAGATCACATGGTTCTTTCTGACTTTACCAGCTTCTTCTTTTCTGTTGGACAAATGAACAGCATTTCCCCTTCCCTAAACACATCACTCTTCCAGACCAGAGTGAAGGTCAATCATGGGACATCATGAGCTATCTGGAGAATGGTTTGCCTGGGTTTGAGACAGGGGTGCAGCTTAGTCATTTTAGATTCTTGTTTGTTTGTTCTTTTTCCGCATATTTGAATATCTGAAGAATATAGCTTTTCATCTTAGAACAAAAGTCTTGACCAGCAGCACAATTCAGGATGCCCTGTGAGGCCAAAGAGTGAGAGCAGTTCTTATTATGTCCCCCTTTTAAATGGCTGTATTACTTCAAGTTGTGAAGCATGCGACTCTCTCCTCCTTCACCACCACTATTCCACGCTTTACAACTGCTTCTGCACACCTGCTGTGTTAGAACAATGAAAAAGCTATTTGCCCTCCATAATAAAAATAGTAATAAAATACAGAGCATGTGCAGTTTTGCATTTAAAATATATTGAAATCCTTGTATTATCGTGACTACAGGAATAACATGGAACTTGCTTCTTTGACTTTCATCACCTGACATTTTCTGGGTGGTTATTCAGGCCTTCCTGGAATGCAGGGCCCTGGACTTTGGCCCCAGAGTCCAGCCAAAGCTGCATCACTGTTTGAGCCTTTCATCTTAAGATGAGAAGCCATAATTCTTCAGAGATGCAAATATGTGGGGAAAGAACACACACCTAACACAGGAACTGACAGTATTGACCATGATCCAAAAACATATTTGAAAGCCTGACTGGGGATGTGTGTGGGGGACCTTGATGATTTTCCCTCTTCAAAAAGAGCTTTAACTAGCATTAAATTAAGGTTGCTGTACTATTAGTTATTTATAACACTCTAGGGATATTGGAGAACCTGCCATGGGTTTTAAATGAGTTCAGATTTCTAGGATTCCCCAGATTCTGCAGTCTACCAGCCCTTTCTGAATCACATGGATTCTGTGGACTTGTGAACCACTACTTTACTTTTCAGAATTTTGCACAAACATTCCTGTTGAAAAGAAAAAGAAAAGAAGCACATTTCCCCGCATACTAAAGCATGCAAATGCACATTCTGGAGGAGGTTGTGCATTTTTAACAGTGGAGATTTGCAAAAAAGCACATGTATGCAAGAAGTTCAGGAACTTGTAACAATTCCCCCCCCACACACACACACACTGTCAATGAGAATGGAGGAGAGATTGAAAAGTACCTCACAATCTGTGAAATGCAGATGGAATGGATTTAACAAAAACTGTACATCCCTATGACACACTAATGGTCATATGGTAAGCAACTGCTAACATATAGTTATGAACTTCAGTCATTCAGCATATGGTGGAGTGTACACATGCCTGTGCACAGACACACACAGAGAGATATCTATATACTAGCACAGCAGGGAAGGGAGGTAAGCAAACATTTTCAAGCAAACAGATCAATTGCTCCAGCCAGCTGAAACTGACAATTGCTCTCTCCCTGACCTTGCAGTTGGAAGAAGATGGGCTCATGAACTCATTTCCACATGACAATGCTCCTGTAAAGTGATTTGCTTGCCTGTGAGAATAGTGGAGAGTTCTTCTCAGTCCTGCACTCCTAGTCTCCATTGAAAACAGCTCAGTAATGGCCTTTTGTGCTGTAAGTGCCAGAAAGCCTCCACTGAAGATGCATGCAATTAAACCCACTTTTTGTTGCTCTTTTGATACACACAGACTCCCTGGGCAGGTGTTGCCACACACAAAGGGAAAGAAAACCTAATCTCTGCAGCATAACATACAGACTATCCCCATACTCCCCCCACCAAAAAAAAAAAAAAAAACCCAGATGGAGGAAAGAAGATTTTATTCTCTCTCTCTCTCTCTCTCTCTCTCTCTCTCTCTCTCTC